CATTGTGTCTAATGAACTCTAGGTAGTCCCCAGTTTAAGGCTGAGTTCCATTCCCAAGGTTTGTCCTTATGTTGAATTTGTACGTAAGCCAGAACAGTATTATTGTAGAATACTGAATAAGTAGTCTTGGGTAATGAACTTGAAGCATTGTGAATTAAATCTGAATCATTGCCTATTTAACTCGAATTTTGCTTCAGTAGGCTCTGTTCTTAACTATGGGTCTCCCTGTATCATAAAAAGCAAGTTCACTTGAAAAAATCAGCACTGTCAGAGGGTAGCATATGTAAGATTGCAACTGGAAAACAATTTCCATACAAGCTCATTTTTCTTCCTCTCTTTTCTAAACATGCAGCCTAAAGCTCTTAAACTTCTAGGGATGGAGGTAAGTTGTTTTTGTACAATGTGATGCTTTTCTCTGAGGGAGGTGGGAGGGTTTTTTTTTTAATCAGAAAAATAGCACCTCCCCCCCCATTTTTCTTACCTAATTTTAGAGGGAACAAAATTGTCCAGCCCCATTAAAAGTTACTGGTAATTGATTGCTGCAATATCTTTGGGAGCGCAGGAACTATATACGTCTTAATTCCAAATGGGCAGAAGTGCCCGTGACTACATCAGAGTGAAAGGCACTCCCAATTTATTAGGATAATTATTATATGACAACATTCTTGTCAACCGATCAATACATAACCTTGTTTTATGTATGTTTCTGTTTAAAGGCCTCTTATTTAATGTGCAAAGAAAGCCCTGAAAAAAATAAACAAAGATTATGTATTTAACGTTTTATTTAAAAAATCTTACTTTCAAAGGCCATTTTAACCGGCGAGATAAATTTATTACTAGAATTTAGTATTTGTCCAGCAAAATCCAATCATTTTCCTAGTCCTGGTTCTCCATATTCCACAAAAACTTATCTTCCTGAGCACTTATTTTCCAGTTTGCTCCTGTTGAATTGACCAAACCTCCTTGCCCCTTTAGGAAATGAAGTAACACTCTCTCGGTATGCCCTGCTTAAGTAAGAGGAGAGATTTTGCGTCCAGAGGTGAACCATGCTCTAGTCTTCTTTCACTTGTTGTTGTCCATTCTTTGCATGATCTCCAAGAAGAAAGATTTCAGTGGGCACCTCCTGCTGTTTCCAAGGATGCAATCAGATTTCTCATGATGGCTGAGATCCACTTTTCTTCTGAATTATAGTTGGGGCCACATTTCTCTTGTCTACCAGAAACAGTTGAATTCTCAACGGTTATAGATTCCCTTCCCACCCAAGAGAACTGCTCCCTCCCTTGTGGTTTTGCATCAGACCCATTTCGACCTGTTCTTCCTGGTAGAAAACTCCTCCAGGTCTTTGAGATGGGAACAATTCAAC